CCCGCCACCCGGGGAGGCGCGGAACGACGCGGGCCCGCCGCCGCCGACTTCCTTGGTGGCTCGGAAGAGGCGGAGGAGGAGAGGTCGGTCAGTCGGTGCGTGCCTGCCTGAGTGGGTTTCTCCCGGTCCTAGCGTCCCCCTCTCTCTGTCTCTCTCTCTCTCTCTCGGGAGGAGGGCGCGCGGGGAGCCCTGCCCTGCCCTGCCCTGCCCTGCCCCCCTCCCGTCCCCCGCGCTCCGGCTGGGCTGGTAAACTCGGCGTAAGGGCGGCCGCGGCAGCTGCCAGATGGAGCCCGTCCTGCATCTCAGTTCTGGGGATTGTCGCCAGCGGCGACGCCTTGCGCGTCAGAACGGGGATTCCCTTTGGGCCGCCCAGCGCGCGGAGGCGGAAGGCGCGCCGAGCGCTCTCCACCTGCTCGCCCCTTTGCCTCCCTCCGGCAAGCCGGCGTTGTGGAAACGGCGGCCTCCAGGGTGGAAAGAGGGCAGCTGCCTGCCCGTCCGTCCACGCCTGGCTTGCTCGGGCCGGGGTTTCTCCTTCCGTGCTGGGAATAGTGCTCTGGGACGGCCCGGGGTTTCGCCTCTGAACACCCATCTTTCCTGACTGGATAGCCGCTGCCTTTATCTTCATTTTTTCGTGTTTTATTGGCTTTGGTATAATTTCTTTGTTTGTTGTGAGCCGCCCAGAGTCGTTTAGAGTCGGGCGGCATACAAGTTTCTCCTTCTTATCGTTAGGAATAGAGAAGGGAGGCGTTCTCCGCAGACTTGTACAAAGTATAGAGAGAAGCTTTTTCTGTTTTTGTGACTCACCTTAAGTTGGGTGGATGTAGTTCACACAATCCCATCTTGTATTGTGAGGGAACTTATCCCTGTTGATAAGTGCTCAGAGAAAACTCGGCGGACGCTGTAATTTCCTCAGTAGAAAAAAGTTGCATTTTAGGGGTGAGATTTGAGATGGCCCAGCTACAATCTACATAATGTGTGTGAATCAGTCCTGTGTAAATAAATAGGCTTGGTGGGTAACCATGAACCTACCTCCTGTTGTTTTGTTAAGAAAGCTTGCAGCAGGTTTTAATACAGCAGATGTTTGAATACGCAAGGAGTGAGAGTGATTGTGAACATAACCTGTACCTAAGTAGTTTAAAAATATGCATTTTGCCCTTTAAAGGGATGGATCTTGCTATGCCCGCTTGACTGTTACTTTGCCTTTTGTCTTTAAAATGTTTTCTGATAATAAAATTTGGCATATCTTACATAGGTCTGCTTTTGTTTGAAAGTGTTTTTTTTAAACTGCAAATGTGGAAAAAAAAACTGTTTTCCAGCTTCAGGATGGAAAAGAGCTAACTTTGTTTTGTTTCATTCTGAGTACCTGTATTTAAAAAAGGAGAAGGCAGAAAATCACTTTGGCTTGCTCAGTTACTTAGAGTGTTGATAGCTACACATAAAGGGTATAGGTGAAGGTTGTATTGTGTGTGTGCGTATACATGAACAGAATGCAGAACTGGATTATGCTAAGGAATGTATGATATATTTGCTGTCTCTTATGTTCCACCCCCATTTCAGTTTCTGTTTGTTTGGGAATAGACCCAGAGATCTCCATAAATACAAAAGCTGCTCATTGGTGGCTGTGTAGCAGTATTATTATTTTTAATATTCTTTTAAGTATTATTCTTTAAGTCTATTTTAATGTAGGTCAGGGCTTTCCAACTCTGTGGTGCCTAAAATAGTATATGAATTTATGTGCACCCCCTATGAATAATTATATTTATTTAAAAAGAGATTTATTATATGCTCCGTGAATTTAAAAACTTTTTCTGATGGCATGGGGCTCTTTGCGCTGGGCAATTCTGTATGAAAGCTGTCAGGCCTGCGCATGCAAAACTGAAACGCTGTCAGAACTTGCTCCAGGCATTGCTTGAATAAGTCCGATCTATTGCCTACCTGATCGTTTCTGTGGTCACAGAAGCAGTCTCTATCCAGAGTGGGGCCCAAATTTCCAAGATCTCTCAAGCCCATTGCTGCCCACTTTGCTTGCCTTCTTGCCTGTGGCAACTTTCTTTTCTTCCCCCACGTTGGCAGCAAGGAACAGCCTCAGACTTCCAGTGGTCCATGGCACCTCTGGTCTTGTAGGCATCGATAGAGCTGAATAAAATTGGGAAAAAACAAACTCTTATTTAGTTGCTTCCCATCTCTGTTCCCGCTGTTGCTGTCACAATGCCAAGCAGGGGTCTGACTGGACTTTGGCTGTGGTTGCCGAAGACTAAAGAAGTTGCAATCTCACTAATTTGCCTGTGATTGCAAATTAAATTGTAGTGAAGATCTGTGCTGTAGGTCGTGGGATTAGAATTCCATGACACTGTAATAGTGGCCATTAATTTAAAATCCTCCCTTTTCTCTCACCGTCACACAATTTAACATAATTTTAGGGCTTTACTGTAGCACTGAAGTCTGAGAGGCCTTAAGAAACAGAACACAGGTGTGACTTGTATTATTATAGGAAAAGATATAAATCTTTCTGTAAAACATTCCACTAAGCGATTTTGGAGATCATGTGAATGTGGAAGAACTTCTACAGGTTGGACCAAGAGCCCATGTCCTGTTTCCAACAGTGAGTAGCCAAATGACTCTGAATGGGGGCAACAACATGCATATCAAGTGATGCAACCGTCAGGTAGTCACACACCTCTCAGGGAGTAAGTTCCATTTAACTATCACAAATAAGTTCGCAAATCTACATTTTCTTAAACTGGAGGTAAGCCTTAGTGAAATCAGTCAGTCATGTTTCTGAATATACATACATAGATATTCATGGCCAGTTGCATGTTTTTCATTAGTTTCTGTAAATTGAAAAAAAAAAGTCACTTAAGGAAGTGGTCATCAGCTACATGCTGTGGTAGTATGTCCCATATATTAAATCTACACTGCATAAAATAATGTTTGCTTTGGCCTAGTGAGAATATGCAGTTGTGTGCTACTTTCACTTTTTAATTTTTGTAGACACTTTCTCACCAATCAGTGTGAACATGTTTAATCTCTGAGCCAAAATCTGTATTTTATATAAATGTTGCTAGTATTTTTGTTCCAAATAATGGACATGGTTATATAATGAAGACATAGTTTTCCCCTCAAATAACTACCTTCTCATTTGCAGGGTTTGTCATATATTTACCAAAAAAAAAAAAAATTGAAGGAAAGGTTGTAAAAAAGGAATGAGCAAGCAGTGTGACCTTTCCTTGTAAAGGGTGGATGCTCTTAAAGAGTAGCCTGAAGATCACCTGCTGTTTGGGAAGGGCTGTTTGCCTGGTGAATTTAACCCTTTTGTAATGCCTAAACATGGGTTCTCTTTCTCTTTTCTTTATTTTTGTGTTGTGTTACCACTGCCCTTCACCATGTTACTATCCATGTTGTTCCAGCTTTTCTCTTTACTTCCTTTCCTGGTGCAGCTGGATGTTCCTCTCACTCCATCTTGATCCTGTTTATTTCCTTTACTTCTAAGTTTCTCCAGGAAGGAGAAAAGGAAAAGGGTGTGGGTGACATGTTTCTCTGTGTAAGAGTGGTTTGCTTGTGTGTGTGAGAGAAAAATGCTGGTGTGCACGATTATTTAATTTAAAAAATAGGGTACTTTACAGGCAATTAGTAGTTAAAAGAATCACTTAATATGAATTTTATATTATTTGGGGGGGGATTGTGGCTCCTGGCAGTTATATATACATACATACTATAAATATATGTACTGTATATATGGTGTGTGGGCATTTGTTACAGGTTCATCTTCCATTCAGGTAAATATGGTACTATATGTAACTATAGCACAGCTGGTCAAGGAGTCAGACCTTTGAGCCACAGACCACAATTTTGGAAAGATGCAAACAGTTTCTACGCCCATGTTAATGTTTTCTTTTTTAAGTAAGAGCTGCAGAGCATATGAAGAGGGAAAGACCTATAGAAAAAGGGTCAAATTCTGCCCTCCCCCTTGTGTAAACCCCTTGTAAAAAGGGAAAAGGCCCTGGGAGGGATGAGGGCTGATTCCTTTTTCTCCTTGCAGAACACTGGTAGAGGAGAAAAGGGAGAAAGCTGTGCAAAGTAGGGCTGAGTCCTTGTAAAGGATCATGAGCACTCCAGAAAAGCAATACTGATTGACTGCTTACGTTTTGTAAGCCTGAACGTCCCTTTCTCTTTTCCCACGTTAGTCTAAACTCACTTCAGCATGATCGTAACCACTAACAACCTCTTCTCCTCCTCTTCTTCTGATTTGTGTTCTTAAGCAGGTGCTTCTTTTTCTACATTTTCAGCCCCCACTTTTCTTTGTGGTGTACAGTCCTTGCATGTTCCATTATTTCTTTCTCTTATGGACAGGGTGCTGCTATTCTGCCAGTGTTTGACGCTAAATGTCAGCAGAAGGCAAGTATTGCCTAGACCAGTGTTTCTCAACCTTGGAAACACTGGCCTAGACTATTTGGGGGGAGGATGCCAGGAGGTGCAAAAGGTACGGGAATC